GTACGAGGGAATTGTGCCCTTGCAGGAAGGTGGGGCATTGAGGCGTGCTTGTGTTGAAGCCGCGCTCGTGGCTGAAGGCCGGATGGCAGTGTGGCTGCAGGAGCACAGGCTAGTGTTGCTGTCAATCTAACAGGGTGAAAGGAGCCAGCGGATGCAGCAGTATGAGCTTCAGCCGTGGCCGTAAATGCGAGAGCTGAGGCGCAACAAGGAGCGCTTGCGCATGTTTCCTTGATCGCGCGTGTGTGTGTGCGCGCGCACGCACGCGTGGGCGTGTTTGTGGTCAGTGCACACCTCCAGCGCCAGATCAGGGTGGTGGCCCTCAGCCTCCGCCACCGCTCCAATGCGCTGCAGCAGCTCCAGTCCCTTCGCGGGTCAATATAAGCGCACGGCGTGGACAGAGGGGAGGGGCGGTTGGGGGCCAGGCCCGCGGCCGGCGACGCTCCTGTTGTGCTGCAGACGCCGATTCGGAGGCAATCCAGGGCTGGGCTGGGTCGGGGCGGCTGCCCGTCGATCGTCAAGAAGTCAGCGGGGTTGCTAGTCTGCAGCAATCGACGCGCGGATGTGCATACCAGTCCCCAGGCTCGGTTGGCGTCAGGAGAGCCCTCCAAAACCCACCCCGCCCCTCGGGCCTCGCCTTGACAAAGTTCTTCGTCCTCAGCCGCCGCCTGACGCGCAGCCGCGCCTGCTCGTCTTCCGCCAGCCGCCACCCCGGCTGGAGGTGTGCCAGGTAGCGCTCCGCGTCTGACCGGTCAAACGCGGCGCGCAGGCCCATGGCGGCCTCGGCGTCTGCTGAAGCCTCGCATGGTTCGCAGCGCTTGGACGAGAGGGCCTGACCAGCGGCGGCTCCAGTCGTAGGCGCAGGCGCAGGCGCTGGTGCTGGCGCCGGCGGCGGCGCGCTGGGCGTCTCGGCGCGAGGGGGCGCGGGTGCGCAGCGCTGAGCGGGCGGCGGGCGAATGGCCGGGGCGCCGGCGCCGCGCGAGCGCGGGCGGAGGGTGGTGTATGTGGTGGCGCAGCGGATAATCATGGTCGAAGGCAGGTGCTGCGGGGCCTGGGGACTGGATGCGGGACTTGGGACCAAGCTGGGCGGCGGCGCTGACGATTTGAACAATGAGCGAGTGTGGGGCGGTTCTGAGGTGAGAGACGCGGGCTGGACGAGGGTCTTGTTGAATGGAAATACTTTTTTGCATCAGATCGAGTGTTAGTTTGCATGCACGCTCAGTCACGCGCTGGCTGATGAGGTGTGCAGGCGAACCAGAAGTGACTCCGTCGTGCCAGGTGCGTTTCCTCCGCGCCTTGCAGGATCGCTCAACGCGCCTTTGTCTTGCAATATTTCACTCAGTATTCAACCCACTTTGCTGGCGTTGAACGCCCCACGGCAGAGCGGACGACCCCAGATCGCCTCTGTTGCGTCTTTATCAGGCCGCCGTTTGCGTAAGAGACGCAAACTATTAGAATAAGTTCTTCACCTGGCGGGCTAGCCCCTTAGGCAGCTATGGATGAGCAATACGATGCAATTGTCCTCGGGACTGGGCTGAAGGAATGCATCATCAGCGGCCTTCTCTCCGTGAAGGGGCTAAAGGTGCTGCACATGGATCGCAACGACTACTACGGCGGCGAGAGCGCGTCGCTCAACCTCAAGCAGGTGCGCCGCGCGCCCAGCGGCGCACTCACCCAACCACCCCACCCCACAGCCGAGCCCACCGAACGCAGCCGCGCCGCCTGACTGCAGCCGCCCAATTCTTTCCGCCTCAGCATCCATTGACCCTCGCGCAGCTGCCCTCTCCGCGCCGCGGCCGCCGCCCCTGCGGCCTCCCTGTAGCTGCCCCCAGCACCCGGCGCCTCAACACCCCCTCCCCCCCCCCCACACACACGCGCGTGCGTGCACACACACACGCACACACACACACATACACACACTTACCAAAACCAGTCGCCCTGCCCCCTTTTCCCTGACTCGCGCAGCTGTGGGAGAAGTTCAAGCCGGGCGAGGCGCCCCCGGCATCTCTGGGCGCCAGCCGCGACTACAATATCGACCTGGTCCCCAAATTCATGATGGCCAACGGGAAGCTGGTGAAGACCCTGATCTACACTGACGTCACCAAGTACCTCGAGTTCAAGGTGGGTGACGACCGGCATTACGTAAGACCGCGTCACACCGCAGATCGTCGGCCAGGAGCCGGATGGGAGGAGGCCATCACGCGAGGCCGCGGGCCCGCTGTTGAGGCGCCCCCAAAGCCTTAGGCGTGCCCAGCACTCACCGGGCGCCCGCGGTCACACCCCCTCCCCCCGCCCGCGGTCCCTGCATTTCGTGCGCCCCCCCTGGTGGCAGGCCGTGGACGGGAGCTACGTGGTGAACAAGGGCAAGGTGTACAAGACGCCCGTGACGCCCAACGAGGCGCTCGCGTCGCCGCTCATGGGCATGTTTGAGAAGTTCAGGGCCCGCAGCTTCTTCGTGTGAGCGGGGCAGCGGCGCCTGGGGGCGAGGGCAGCAGGGTCGACGGGGGAGGGGTGCATCTACAAGGGGGTGGGGGCCCGCAGCGGTGGGCGGCAGCGGGGGCAAGTGTTCAATCCGCTGGAAAGAGCGGGCGCAAAGGCATGGCGGCGGCTTGTGGGGGAGGGACGCTTGGC